GGGTTCGAATCCCGTTGAAGCCCTGATTTTTTCCAGGCTTCTTCTTTCCAATTGCTTAAATTGGAAAATTAACTGCGATGATCATTCTTCGCTTTCATTAATGTCCGAGTTACGTATTAAGAGTTCGGTCCGTTGACACGGTTGTACACTTGTATGCATATTACTTTCACTTCAAGGTGAAGTGGGAGCCAATTTAACTTCTTGAAAAGTTCGACACTGTTTGTTCGTATCAACTTGAATTATCTAAAACGGTATCATAATTACCCTCCCAACGGTATTTTCATAATACCTTAGGACCATGGATAAACGCAATCGCAAAATGTCATGTAATACATTTAGCGTGTTACTATATTTATTACCTGTGATTTCTGGTCTACGTCAAGCTTGAAGAAGGAGCTGCTTTCTGTTGAACTACTACTCAAGAATCTACTAATACTGGCGCACTTCAAACGCCTGATTCCCAGGCAAAGTAAGGCCATCTTTGTCTCGATGTCTATGTGCAGACCGAGTCCCGGGAGAAATAAAAATTTCGCGGAGAAAACTGGTAATGAGTCTTTGAGTAAAATTTGGATTTGATGACGTAAGGAGTCAGGCATCATGGATCAAGGATCTGTACGGAACCCACGCCTCTCCAAGTTTTACTTTGTTCCTGGTACTGAATATGATAGGGTATGGTAAATTATTTCATTTCAGTAGGCTATGGAAAAACGACAATGCATCATTTACCTTATTTTTACTTCTGTCTGGCCTGCGTGTCAGGCGTTTAAAGGAGAGGAAGACGGGGAATTTGTTTTTCTGCTGTTTATGTTCCTGTTTTCGTTTTGTTTTATATTTCATTTCCTCTCTTTTGCTTAATTTTGTTTGTTCTATAGCTTATCTGTTATTTACCGATATTTGTCAATTTATTTACCAGTTTTGAGCGCGAGATCGGAACGTGTCGCGCAATCGAAAATCTTCGGTATTTTCCGGATCTTGGTCGCACGAGACGAGGTTACCAAGCTGCACATGGCGGCTAAGATGTTTTGGTGGTGAGGAGATGGGTGGTTTGGGACGTTTCAGTGGAATTTACCTGATTTAGCTTGCATAATGACAAGTTAGGTAAGACGGTTATTTAAGATCGCTTACAATCTTGACTTTTATGTGTGCCTTCCTCTTAACTAAATCGTAAGTTAAAATGGCGAGCATTCGCAAGCGCGCATTTGCAAGCGAAGATGAGACTGGCTTCTGTGGCGCGGTAGCATGCAAAGGTGCAGATAGCATTGCTCTATAGGCCGTAGCGTGCGAACCCGTACAAGAAAACGAATAAAACGGGAAGTAACTGCTAACTAAACTGTGGACTTTTCTTAGTATTGCGAGGGATCTATGACTGACATGCAGAAGTCTGTGCCTTTCAAAGGCTTATCTTTCTCATAATCATTTGCGGCGCATTAACAATGCTCTTTTCATCAATCACGCTGCTTCATTGATGAACGGAACCTATTCCTCTTGATTTAAACAGGCATAATTCATAACTGTTGATTCAGACGTGGAACCTCGTACGATTCTACTAAAGACCTGCCAACCCCTGATAAATGGAAGTCTGGAGACCCATGAAGAATAATTGGTAGATTTTTAAGCAGTGAGATTCCTTTTTTCCCGATAGAGATTGAACAAACACTTCTCTTCGCCATTTGATCTGATTGGGATCACTTTCCTGGGACACACAAGGCCCTATTGGCGGTTTTGGAATATGGGGTATTTGGGGAATAATTATATAGCAGTCAGTTAACCCAGTATTGTCAGCACAGCTATTATCCTTTAATTTCTGAAAACTGTCCAATTTGGGATTTAATTTGGACAGTTTTCAATAAGGACTTTGAGTAAAACCGCAGAAACTGTCCAATTTGGGAAAGCATAGGACAGTTTGTCTCAGCCAATGAAATTAAGCTATTAACCTTCCGAAGATTATCAAAGGCCACACGAAACCTTGCGAGGATTTCCGCAGATCACCCGAACACTCCTGAGGATTTCCGAAGATCCCCCGAACACTTCCAAGATTTCCGAAGATCACCCGAACACTTCCAAAGACTTCCAAAGATCACGCGAACACTTCCGAAGCTTTCCAAATATCACCTGAACATCTCCAAAGATTTCCAAAGATCACTCGAGTACTTCCGAAGATTGCCTGAGCACTTCTGAAGATTTCCGAAGATCACCCGATCACACTTCCCAGGATTTCCGAAGACTTGTGACAATCTCCAGCGATCTCCGAAGATCACCGGATATTTTCGTAGCTTTCCCAAGTTTCGCAAGATTGAGGGCCCAGTCTGTTTTTCTTCAGAGACAGTTACTGTAGTTTTCCTTGCAAAGCTGTGTTACCTCATGAGCTATATAATTAATAAGTAACAGGACTACATGCTTGTCCAATTTGGAAAAAATTAGATTCAAAAAATTCCTCTGACAGCCAAATTGGACTTGGCCTGTGGTCTTGTCCAATTTTGGCTGTCCGCAGAATTTTTTTCATCCAATTCTTTCCAAATTGGACAGCATGTAGTCCTATTACATATACAAATTAATGGGACACGGGATCTTAAGATGAGATAAAATGGGATATCGGGTAGGAAGATTAAAATCAACAATTAGCGATATACACCCCCCCCACTCCCCCTTAATTGGATACCACACTCACATTGCATGAACTTGAAGAGTACAGAGACACTGAGCATGAAATCAAGGTCTGGGTAATGGTTTTCTGTCTTCTAAAAATGGTGAACACAAGGGGTAGCATAAATCACAGTATGGTACAAATCAGTACTGGTGGATAAATACATTGTTCTCCTTTATTAATTTATGGCACAAGTATTCCCCTTTTAATTTTCCATGTATATTCAACAAGGCAATATTTCATTTCACAATTTTTTCCCCAAAACCATGAGATTTGAAGTCTTGTGGTGAGGCTGTGAGTGAAGATAAAATATTGTGATACTCATGGCAGAATCATGAGAGTTGGCAGGTCTGCAACTAACAACCAAAAGAAAGAAAAATCATCTTCAACTTAAGCACCTTACAAACATGTATTAGTATCTGCATACAGCTCAAGCCCAGTTCAAATGTCTAACTTTACATGTGCCAGACCTTTTACTCTTTTGAGTCGACTCAAATAATTAAGTTCAACAGTTGATTCAGATGTCAAACCTAATGGCATCAGAGTTAATTGCTAATTTGATACAGAATCTTTCAGGTAAAATATAATTTTTATTATGTATCCATTATGTAAATAGATTCAGCACATATGTGCACCTACGTGTAAAGTACAACATCTGAATTGAAGTCAAATTTTTGCTGTTATATTCAATTGCTATAGTTAAATTGAATGGCAAAGTTGACCCAAACACAAAGGACTAGTGTCTATGGTAACTGATTCAGACATCAAACTTAACATTTACCTAATAGCAACATTAGTTTGCAAAAATTAATGTAAAGTTCGATAAGTAAACTGGGCCTGAATTTTTTTCTAATCCTTTAATTAGTTCCCTTTCCATGCAAAAGTCACACATTGTTTATCTTTATTGTTATAGTGCAGTGCTTGTAAAAATGCCAGGAACCCACCATGAATGTTGCTGATTTAGATGACAGGCCTCTCCCAACAGGCTGGATACGTCGACAGTCTAGATCAAGAAAGGACAAATACTATTATTTTAACACTGTTACAGGAAAATCAAGCTGGAAGAATCCTCTTGATATTCTAGATCTAGGAAGTCATAACGAATTGTCAGCTAATGTGAGTTTCAGATTTATGCATAATAACCTTTAACATAACATCCATCTTGCTTTTGCAGGGTATCATTCAAGTGCACAAAGTGACCCTTCCTTTTTGCTAGACTCTCCTCTTTAAATTATACAGGGTCAAAGAAAAGTCAAGGTTCATTTTGAATTTACTCACTTTGCCTCTCATACTCTAATCCTCAAACTTGAGCCTGCTGTCTACTTACAAACAAGTATCAATGAAATTTTGATGCTCAAAACAGTGTTTTCCAGAAGCGCTGGCAGCCAGCGTTTTTGCTGGCTACTTGCGTTTCAAGTGCTGGCTACTTTTGTTAGACAAAACCAGAGAAAATTATTCTAACTTATGTTTCTGTAAGACAATTTTGAGCGTAGCTTAAATTTGTGCTTAAAATCTCAAGTTCCAAAAACGGGAAGCAAAGGAAATGATAAACAATAGCTATTAAGTGTCATAGACAGATAGGAACGTAAAATGTGTCAGGTCGCATCTCCAGCCACATAATATTTTGAAAATTTTCCTGGGGGTGGGGGGTATACCCCTGTACTCCCTAGAATTTTGTGCCCTTCAGGCGCTCGATTTGCAAGTGCTGGCTAATTTGAAATTTTTTTAGCTGACTACTTTAAAATCTGTGGAGAACACTGAAAAATGTTGAGCTACATATGAAGCTACATACATATGTAGCTACATGTACACTGCAGATAAGCATTTGTTGTTTTTGTATGGCATTCTTCATGAATTTCAGGTGTTTCTAGAGACTCTGCAAAGAGAGACTTATGTTTATAACGTTAATTACTTACCTTGTAATCTAAAATCACTGCTGACTATTTCTTTTTTGGGTGTGTTTTGTGTTCTTGCAGAGCAAACAAAGTGGATCAAAAAGAAGCTTTGAAAGTGATGGGTGTAATAAAAAAAAGAAGTCTAAATCTTCAAAGAAACATAAAGTACACAGTCCGGCACACTCGAGTAGTAGCAAAGAACCACATAGAGAGACAAACAAAAATAACAAGATGCCTCAAATGACAACAGATGCTGTCAATGGACAACATCACATGTGTGGTGATTCTAAAGTTCACCGTATAAATGCTTGGGTTAGATCTGTTGATACGTCATATGCACCTAGTGAACCAGGGAGCTATATAAGTCATGCTGAAAGTGACGAATTGAACCACAATGTTGGTGGATTTCCAGCAAAACACCCTTACTGCAGGCCTGCAAAAGTACAAAACACTGCACGGCTTGTATCAACTCAACAGTGTAACAGAACAGGTAGTTGTAACAAATACAATGACAACACGAGAATTCTTTCTGAGCCGTTATCACAACATAGCCATAAAGGCTCACTTTCAGGTGATGTTAACACACACGTCCCTGTCAGAAACAATGTTCTAAAGAGTTCGAAGCAAAATAGTAGAACAGCAGCAGTTAACAGCACTGTCCATACACCATTTAGTCCTTTATCGCATCACCCAACTGTCCTTGGACTTAATTCTGACAAGACAGACACTGGACAAAAGTTACCAAGTGCTGCAGCTTATCAAGCACAGCTAGCTGCTGAAGACATGCAGTTAGACAGTCAAGTGTCTTTGCACAGTTTTGAAAATGACAATTATGAGGCTCAGCATGAAAAGACAGAATTTCCTGATAATAATGAAATTGCCATGGAGATTGATAACTATGAAGAACTGGAAGATCAGATTAAGTTGGAGGTAAGAACATATCAACAGCTGGTTGATTCCATTTCTGCTTAACTTTTACTGTGATCAAGTATCGTCAGATTTACATGTTAGACACGTTTTTGCACTGCCTTTTTGGATTTACATAGTTATATGTGTCCTTGTTTGTTATTATTTTTTATTAACACATGTACATTGTTCACAAGCGCGATGCAATTGAGTCACGGTTTACTTTCCTTTGTCTCTTAACAGCTTCAAGGAATGAGATCAGAGTTTGCCCTTGATCCATCACAGGTCAGTGAAAAATGCAAAACAGCCAATGACAGTGCATGAAAGTCAGTGTTTGATCACATTTCCAAACATTAAGAAGAGATTTGGAATGTGACACGCTGTAAAGTAGTTTTGACGAACTTTGAGGTGTTTGGAAATCTGGTCAACACTGTCTTGAGTGTTTGATATACACATGTACGTATGTTCTCAATCAAACACACTCATCCTCATCATCCCAGCTGTTGCAGTGCAACATGGACACTGCTAGTGTCTTGTTTAAATCAATGGGTACATGTATAGATATTCAAGGAATGAGTACCATGTTCTCACTAATTGTTAAATCACAGGTTGATGGGGCAAGATCAGCTTGCTCACAAGAATTTAGTTAATTGCACTCTGAAAGAATTTTCTCCAGGAGTGTAAGGTGTTCCTGAATGAAGATATTAGTACTAGGGTGTTTTTCGATAAACTTGTTTTAGTCTAGGTACATGTACATGCATGTATGCTGACTTTATCTACATGTAATGACATATGTGAGTGTATTGCCTAATTTTGACTCTACATACATGCAGGTTACTGGTGAATCAGGAAAGCCGTCGTCATGTTCATACAAGGTAAGACCAAAGGACTCGTGTATCTTTACTGCATACAAAATATGTTCAATTATTTTTAAGTACACTATGCATCATGTCATGATGGATGCGTATGTGTAAATAATTTGACATTTGTATAAACTACAACTTACTTCCTACTCTAACTTATACCTTAAGCATAAGTCTTGTGCCTGTGAATTTAGAGCCTTATCTGTTGTGCATTATACACTGTATTGTTACTAGAACTGATGGAAGAGAGTAAAGTATAATATTAAAAAATTCAACTCATGACACTTTTCCTCAACTACAGCAGAGCTCCTTTAGAAGGGAAAAGTTCTACTAGCAAGGTTATGTTTGGCAGAGAGAAATATAGCAGACATGTACTTATCTATAATGCACGCTGGGTAGTGTAATTTTGTACTTAAAGGCAGTGTAGCTTGTACATCTTACCTACGAATGAACATTATTATTTTGCAGGATACCCTTTATGTTGTTTTGGATACAAATGTTCTCTTGTCGCATCTTAAACTCATATCGGAACTAAAAGACTTTCCTATTGAAGGTAAGCTTGCTGGGTGCATGTACATGTACAGGTACAGTGTGTATAATGCAACAATATCAAATCAAATTCTACTTTAATTTGTTTTTGAAACAGAATTTGAAATGATGAATAATTATAAGGCTCCTCCCATTCTTACAGACTGTCCATGTATATTGTGTACAATGTAGTTAGCGAGCGCTAGTCTATGAGTACATGTATGCCTTGTGCCCCTATAGGTGTTGCCAGGCCTGTCCTTGTCATTCCATGGATTGTCATTCAAGAACTTGATTCCCTGAAGGTACATTTTATATAATTTTATACAGATTTGGATTAACACTGCAATGTACATGTACTACTTGTAGGGTTGATTTATTTGTGTAAGTTCTGTCATTACAAAGCTAACCATATGTAAACAAACACTCCTTAGTCATTTCCCTTTCACAGATACCATCAAATAAATATGTATGATAATAATTACACAAAAATTGTACAATATTCATTGCACTTAATCTCATCTACTATTGTTATCTTTAGAGTGATTCATGGAGAATAAAGAAAGGGAAGCTTGTTAGCACCAAAAATGAGGTTTGAATTTAGTAACATTTCTTTGCTGAGTATGTACTGTTAAGGATGGACTTCTAGTAAACCTATTTTCTCTATATAACAGACTGTGTATAAGTTTTTATAATTATGCTTGCAAGCAGGTTGTTTGTTCCCATGTTCAGCATCTACATACATATATGCATGTGCTGAAGTAGTATAAAATATGTTGCAGGTCTTTATTTGTTTTGTTTGTATAATTTATGCAGAATGGCAAGTTTGGTGTTGATGCCCTTGCAAGGCAGGCTGTGAGGTTTCTTCATCTGTGTTTTGAGAGTGACCATCCACGGGTCAGAGGACAGACAGTATCTGAGGTCAGTAACAAGACAGGTCAATTCTGCATACAAGCCAAGTGGCTCATCAAGCTGGAACTTACCCTGGTTTCAGTAGCGACTATGAAGCGACTAGGAGTATTTTGACTTCTCAATAGATGGGATGCTAGTTCATTGCGGGGTTACCTCCCAGCATTAAATTCACTGGTACCCATTTATACACCTGGGTGGAGAGAGGCACTGTCAGAGTAAAGTGTCTTGCCTAAGAACACAACACAATGTCCCTGGCCAGGGTGTGGGAGGCACAGTGGCCTCATGGTTAGTGCACTCAACTCCGAGGCAAGCGTTCTGGGTTCAGTTAGAAGACACATAGATTCATAGTTATTAAGTAACTAAAGTAACTATGGAAGTATATATAAATAAAATCATTTAATCATAGTGGCTGCCACAAGAGGTGTCAAGGTCTATGTTCCAAGCAATTTCTGGACTTAACTACATGTAGACAGAAACTATAGCACAAAGTGGCCTGGAGTGCACTGGTTACCTGTGACTTTCCAGAAGCGAAGCCATATGTAGATTAGGGCTTAACAGGAGCTTGAAACACTCGACTGCACATTGTAATTCCAAAGAAACCAGGTCACATTAAAATCAATCGTTAGCGTTTATTGGAAGGAGTGATGAATCAACAATATAGGAATCAGGATAGCAAATAGAGATGATCTTTGTGATGTGAAGTCATTGTGGTTGTGATTGTGTGGTTCGAACTAAAAGCAAAACGATACAAAAGGCTTATGTAAGCTAATACTAACTAAGATACAAAACATAAGTCAGGATACCGATGGAACATAAATCTTAAACTATAACGACACAGTTACGACTAAAGATGTGCAGACTTACTTTGATCTTGCTCCTGCGAGGGTAGCAATTGTAGAAACGATAGCTTAGAACGATAGCGATGACAGCGATAGCATAAAATAATAGCGAGAACATAGATGGCGTAACTAAACTGATAAAATTGTGGTGTGTCTAATTACATGATTCCAAAGATTATATTATGAAACTTGCATTGATCACAGCAATCACAGCATGAATAGCAAAAACCTAAAAAATGTACATAATTGTTAATGAGTAATAGTTATGTAAACAAAACAAAGAAGAAAACGAGTTACGAAAATAACATTACCCTCACAATCATTGTCAAGTTTGTCCTGCAATTTCATGGTTGTGAGAGGAAGTGAAGGGTTTCTTTTCCAAACCTGGCATCTCATCAATGCTGGCATCTGATTAATGTTTCAAACATGTATCTTGTTCAAGACTAGAAGGGCAGAATTTAAATTATGTTGAGGGTTGATGTACATTGTATTATCACTAAGTAGGCTTTTCAACTTACTGTAGTCGATTGCTGCCTCAAAGCCAATGTAAAAAAGATTTCCCTTCTCCCTCCTCCAACATAAATGTTTAGAAAACAGTCCCAAGAAAATACTCACGCTGATTGGTTAAAAATTGTGTTTCTATAACTCGATAGAAACACAGAACTAGCACGAGCTGTTGACATAATGATGGCATGAGCAAAAAGAATTTACCCTTTGATAATGAAAGTTAACAAGTTGTTTTCCTTTTTTTGGTCGCAGTGTTTTCTAAAAGAAATAGAAAACATGTTTTCTGTGTTTCTATTGAGTTTTAGTGCAAATCTAGGGGTGTTCTATCACTAATGCTGTTCTCTGATTGGCTATGCTACTCACTATCTATTCTGTGATAGATAGTGAGTAGCATAGCAGTGTGCACTTGTTAACAGAATGACGGCGGCTTCTTTACGTTTTCATAGTGTGTGTGTAGAGTATTGAGATAAAGTTTTGAACAACCAATAGATTTATACTAGAACAATTAGATTATTCGCTCTTAATTTCTATGCATGATAGTTGACGAGGGCTGTGCTCTTGTGCTATCACGTGATAGAAATCTCAAGCTCATAATCTAATATTATTGCTTAATAGAAACACTCATGAAAGTTTGGGAGAACTCGAAAAAGTTGTGGAAACACTCGCCTGTGGCTCGTGTTCCTATGGCATTTCTCATTCTCCCAAACTTCCATTCGTGTTTCTATAACTCGATGGAAACACGGTACATGTTTTCTATTTCTTAATTACTTTTTCCTTCTTACTGATTACGTTTTATATGTAGAAAAGCTCAGGAATACTATTTTTTGTGTGTGTGTATTTAGAGGGCCGTAGGTTTAGTTGCCTTAGATATTGCCATGTATGTTCAATGATTTCTAAAAATGTAAGTTCATGTACAGGTACATACAGTCCAAGAGTTCTTGTCACAACCTTGAACTCATGCTGTTTTTGTATTTTGCATTTATTTTATATCATTCAGGTAAGGGAAATGATGGAGAACTGCTCAATAGAAGATCCTAACAATGATGACAAAATACTCCAGTGTTGTTTGTTATTCCAAAGAAAAGGTACAGAAATTAACCTGTTCTGCCTGCTGTTCACATTCATCGCTGGTGTAATCATGTAATTTTGGGACACTTTTTTATATCTTTTCGGGCAATTAAAAATGTTGATAAAAATAATAATTGCATTTAGCAACTTTGCAATTAGCCATTTTTCATCAGTGTCCAAAATTTTTTGTCCTAAAGTTGTCCAAAATGAGATTAAAAAAAGTATCCAAAAATTAAATGCCTAAAATAAAAGGTCCAAAATTTTAATGTTTTAAGTTTTTGCAGGTAATGTATAATCATCAAAGACATCTTACAGTACCAATTTATTTTCTTTGTGGCTGTTATTCTCAGTTAGGGATATGCTGTTTAATTAACCAATGTACTTTCTGAATTTATTGTCATTTTAGCACATAATGGACATGCAGTATTGTTTTCCAATGATCAGAACTTGTGCAGTAAGGCCATCATTAATGGGGTGAAAGCTTTTAATCACCAGGTACATACTCATTTCATTCTTTGTAACATGAATACATGAGAAGTAACAGCAACTTATTGTTGACAAGTTTATGTTTTACCTGTGCATGCTATGTAATTTTCGAAGCAATTGTGTTGCATAAAAATAATGTCATCTATGTTAATGTGTTCTTCAGAGTCTTGTCATGGGTTTGAAGGAGCTTTTTCAGAGCAGTGCTGTGGTGTTAAAAAAAGATCATTTTCAAGGTAAGTTTGTGGTTCTTATAATAGTCAGATTATTTACTTGATCTGATAAAGGAATATCAGTGTGAAGTGGACTGCTGTAACAGGCACTTTATCACCTACAAAAAACTATTTCTTAAATTTAGCTTGTATTCGCTGTTCTTCTTTTGTCAGATTATTACAGGGAACTTAAACTACAAGAAAATTTGGCAGAAAGGAGAGCTAAGGTACTGTACATTGTACTTCATCTGCACTATGTAAAAATTGTGTTTTTTCAGGCATTACACTGTACAAGGGTTACCGTAGATGTATGGTGTAGTTTGATCAACATGTAAGTTCCACACATTAATTGGCAGCTCATGACCTTCCATGCAATTGGAGGCAATTTCGTTTTAAATGCAAAGGTTAATGTGTCATTGTTTCATTGATTGTATTGTGATCAGGCTGATGACCTTGCATGTGAGCTGCAGTGTATTATGAGAGAAGGTTTGGCTGTGGTGGTGGAAACAGAAATGAGAGCAGCATATGATGATCTTTGGTGAGCCTAGGAGATTATTTTGTGATAAGTGCACAGTAGATGCACAGACATGTGTCAAGGACTTGGTATCTTACATGCTGTTAATTCAGCACCAGTTGCTAATTTTCTGTCTCTTTGGCCTGGGACAAGCTTTTTAAGTGTTTGACCAGAATCCCTCATGTTTTTGTTAATCTTTTTTGTTTCATTTTTTTTTTCTAGGGATAAGATTGTGTTTATAAAACCACCATGGACTTTGACTGACCTTCTTCAGTTGCTAGACAAGTAAGTTATTTGACTTGATAATTAACATGCAACATATATGCACATGTGGATATATTTGATTATCGTTAGTCCATACTTGCTCTTGCTGTGTTACGATTAAAAGAAAATAGGCTGTTCTTACATTACTTAAAATAATGATGGTCTGGCATACATGCTTAAATTATTTAAAAACATCAAAAATTATCTAAACCTTTTCTAGACACTGGATTGCCGTGTTTGGTCAAGTGTTCAAAAGGAATATCAAATCAACTGTGGAAGATCTTCGCAAGCACTTCAGTGGAGGAGGAGGTAACTATTATTGTAGTAAGATTACTGGTGGGCTTGTTAATTGATACATGTACAGGAACAGAACTAGCTAGTCTACGCACATAAACACATGATGCTGTCAGTGAGATTCCGTCATCACCGCAACTAGCCGTAAATCAACCAAATTCCATAGTGAAAGGCACGAAGCCATTAACAAAATCCCCCTGTATACATGTACCTTGCCTGGGCCAACTTGTAGGAATCTACAGAAATCTTATGGACTTAACAATGTAATAATAAAAATACAATGTATTGTTGTTGTTTTAGGCGCTCCAGGTTGTTTAGCTAATGCTTCCATTATATTGGATCAGGCACACACACTGTTTGATGCCATAGCTGCAAGATCTAGGTAAACAACAAGTAACACTAAAATAATACTCATTCTAAGGCAGCTCTTAAGAACTACACGGAAGGTGCACTGAATGGGATGTACAAACCACTTTACAGCTTAGGACTAATGTTGTACTGGTCATCCCTCACAGTGGCCAATATTTTGTACAAATTTAAACTTCTTCAGTTTGTTATCATCATTCTCTGCATGTCAGATAATATTCTATTTCTAAAGGACACAGCTTTAAAACATTCTTCTTCAGGTTTGGGCAGATCTGCATACCCAGGAGCCTTCCCCTTTGCTCTGAAAAACTACATCCAATTTACGTATATTTAAAATATACAAATTCAAAAAAAAGAAACTAAATGGATATGAAAAAGTGTTGAATGGTTTTCACTTGAACGTTATGTCCAAGACACTTCGCATTTGGTTTGGTTTTGATTACCACTCGACACAATTGCCTTAAAACAAATGGCACATTGTCATCCAATCTGAAGTGAAAGCAAAACCATATCACACTTCACGCCAGCTCACTGGTTTGTCTGGGTCCTTTTTTATTAGCCAGAGTTACTGAAAAATGCTTTGTAACAAATTTTAATTGATGCGTTGTTTCTTGGTTTTTCTGTTTCAGTTACAATGGAGCTATCACAAAGTGTGTGACAGCTATTATTGTTTTACAACGGAAGTGCAAAGAATATCAAAATAATGGTGATAAAGAACAGCCTGTTAGACCCCCGACCTCTGTTGTTATGGGTCCCCCTCCTCCCCAGGTCCGTGCTCTCCAAGGACCTGGAACTGGGATTTCCTCACGGTCTTCTTCTAGTGAAACTGAACCAGAGGTTTGTGGAGTGAAAAAAATGTATTATTCAGTTATAGTGAAACGATTGGTGTGTTTTTCAGTACATATACCTACAGTGTATAGTAAACATGCAGACAAGTAAAAGCATTGTGCAACTATGTTTTAATTTATCGTCCTTACGTTTGATTGAAATTGATTCAAAGCTTACTAACATTTAAATGTTAAATGTTTATAGTGTCGATGCACTTAGTTACAACTACTAGCTAGTTCTCAGTTTTTCACTGTCATTTTGTTTTATTTTTTTATATATCTTTATTACAATACAAACATTACTTACAATTCATTTTTACAACTCTACATTACTCACAGTAACTTTATGATTAACGCTACATTACTTTCATACATCAATTACAATTCTAAATAGTATTTTTTTTTTTTTGCCATAACTACTCTTACGTGGATTAACCCCAACTGACAAACAAACACAACACAACACAACACAACCCTTGAAACCAGTCAGAACCCGAAATAAACCCTACTGCGTATGCTAAATGCTAGTTACGGTAGGGACTGACATTGTTAACACAGTTTAGTGTTGTTGGTTCTAAACCATCTGTTATGCATTCGTCTTTACAGAACTCCTCGGGGAAGTTTGAAGAAGGTTCAGAAGAAAGCAGTAGTGTTCACGAGATTAACACAGTTCAAATGGGAAGTAATCCCCATGGATTAGTCCTGTCCACGTTTGAAACAATATGGAATGCAGTCAACCAGTTCAGGTTATTATAAACCTCTGTTGTGTCCTCTGGAGTTCAACATTATGTAAAGCTTGTATACTTACATCTCAGCTCCGTAAGCTGATTTTTTGGATAAAACGATACTTTGCTTCTCACTTCAGTCTTGTTTATTGTTAATTTTAGTGCCCAGATCTTCAGTGGTGTGGGTTTTCCTCATCCTGTACCTCTCAACTTTCTTGAAGACTTGGCCAAGCCAACCAGAGATGAGGCCATACAGTTTCTAAGCCGACTCAGTTCATGCTTGGCATTTGTAGTTTCTGCCATTCAGAGGTACGGTCATTTAAAACACTACAGTCTTAAAATCAGAACATGTCCTGTAGGAAAGATTCATGTACATTCCTGTCTGGAAAGTTAAAAGTCCATGAGGAGAATTTCGCGTAGCTGGCATTTCCTTAGTTGTCGTCAAGTCTGCTTCATTCATGTAATACAAAATCGAGAGGAAAGGAAGAAACTTGGTTGCCTGCACGCGAGTTAAAACAGAATATCTTTATTGTCGCTCAGTTGTTGTAATGTATGTAGACTTAAGAGATATGTCTAACCTTTGTCCTCTGCTTATCTTGTTTTCAAGTGTTCTTCAAGAACCAAAAGGAAGTGAGACAGGGAATTTTCAATTGTTTGAAACTCTGTTACAAGCAATAACCCAGTTCTTCCAGCAGGTAAAGCACGGCAAGTAGTCTGTGCTAGTACAGAGGAGTAGGTACATGAAGATCCGCTGTTCGACAGCATTCCTTTGTGCATTCCTAACCATGTTTATTGCTTCTATTGCATAGTATAAACGAACAAAGTGAGCCTCTGGCACGGCTTAACATTTACTAACTCTTCAAACTAAGAAACTGCGCAACTGCAGATGATTTTGAATTTTTTCTCATGGAGCTTGTGACACTGTTTCCATGGAAACAATTTTACAATTAGGCTGACAGTGGATATGAGTCGATATGACTCCTTTGTATCTTTCTCTCACCAAATACCTTGTTGCAGTTTTATTTATACATTGCGGCCGCAAATCGCACATTGTGTAAGTCGATAAAGCTCTTTTTCAAGGAGACAATTCAGATCTTGTTTATTCTTACTGTAATATTTGTTTCCATCTAGATCCTATCCATGAACACACACGTCACAGTGGCTGATCTGTTCAGATTTGCCAGGGATTCTAACGCAAGGTAAGCTGATATTCACCACTGTGCGTCCCACAATTTACTATCTGCTATTTAATCAAGCACAGAATTTTTGTTACGATCAGTTCTCCTCTGCGGAAGCGCTAAGAGCACAATGCACATTGTGGTAATTCCCGGATCTTATGTTTTGTTTGTATGTGTCCTATATAAAAGAACAATATCACATTCTTCACTGGAAACAATTATGAACTCAGAAAAAAATACCGTCGTTGTAGATTGTTCGTTTGTTTGCTTTCTTGTTTGTTTCTCTGTTTTTTGGTTTTGTTATTTGTTGTTTGGATAAGTTGTCAGCGAGTTTTGAAGAGTTGTTAGCGAGTTTTTACCAACTTTCAGTAGTCACTGCCACAGACTGCATACAGGTGTAGGATTTGTTTTGACTTTGACTGAAACACTGAAGATGATTCCATTCGTTCTCTTGGTAGGATGGGCCTTATTCAGGGGTGCTCACAGTTGGACCGTGCCTTGGCCACCTTACAGCAGTGTTCCACCTGGGTGGTATCCTCAGATTAGTAGATATTTGTTCTTGACACTTGGAGCACACTTTTGGAGACAGACTGTAATTACGATGTTGGTAGGAAAGAAAAAATCCGAACGGAAATTACGACGGTATTTTGAACAATGGGACGGTTGCTGATCTTGGACGATTGATTCGTATCTCTTTGGTTTCGTTTGTCAACGCCATCTTAAGTACGTTTTGATGTTGTGACATTTGAGCTCTCGACCAATTGAAAACAGTGTCTTTTATCGTACCAGTGGTACGATCAGAGAGACGTGCAATAACAATATTATTATTCCACCTCCTTGTTTATTTATGTCCTTGGCAAGTTTATTTATTTTTTGTTATTGCGGGGTTTTTTTATGTGTCGTTACTTGGGTATATTTTCCAAGATGAACGGGCGCCATTTTGTCACGATTAAACTACGGATTTGTCTCAAGTACTCTTCATTTGTAATACTGAAAAGAAAAGGAAATCTCTATTGTTCATAATAATGACTGGCTCCAGTTTTTGTACTTCAAAGTTTCTAAGAACTCTTATGTCGAATGATTATTCCATTTGTAACATACCGGTAACTTTATTTTTGGAGGAAAAATCGTGAATGATAAACTATCGAAATCATTTCAAAGTGTTACGTTGATGTAGTGAAAAAATTATATTTAAAAAGAGATATATTGATTGCAAATAAAAAATTTGTTCATTAAAGCTCCCTTTTGTCATTAGACCTCTTGTTTGTGGTCTGAAATGGTGCAACATACATAAACTTACATAAACTTTATTAACGTGTCTTTATATGTAGCCGATGGGGAAAAAATCTCTCTACTAATTGGGGACACTTAGCATAATCTACACTCATAACCTGCTATCTCGGGAAGGATTCATGAAATCTAAGACAAGCAAAAAATAAAGCAATCTGTGCTTTTCCAGGTCCGCTGCTAACGATCCAAATGTTAGCTGCACTAACTCGTTCCTCCCTTGCATTATTATTCCCTTGTTATCCTCGCTTTCCGCAAACCACAGTGATCGTCACAGAGCGCGTGACGTCACAAGGAACATCGCTGTACGTCGAACTAAAACTTGCAGTCTGGCTCAGATAAAACACTTGAAAAACCACATTAAAAAAATAAATCTCAAACCAAACTTTCCACTACGGCTAATTTTCTTGCTTCACTACATATTTTCACCACCTCTTTACGGCCAGTTCACCAGAACATCACAAATCAAGAAGCTCAAACACCACCTCGTAGGTGTTTTTCCACTTCCGCTGGAAATAGGCGACCTCCCGGCCCAGGGTGAGCGCGGTTCTTATAATAAGTTGCGGCCGCTTCCCAAAACCAGTTGGCCCATTTAAGACCAAAATCTGCAATTTTCCCTACCCAACGGTGAATTCGATAAGACCTGACTCTTAAATCAATACCCTGTTTTAAACCTGCCTTATAATCGTTCTCTAGTTCGGACCGATGTTAAAGGCATTGTGAAGGGCTTTTGTTGATGGTCTCTCAGGTGTTTTTCCACTTCCGCTGGAAATAGGCGACAAAAAAGTGCAACTCAATTTAAGAACCTCCCGGCCCAGGGTGAGCGTGGTTCTTAAAATAAGCTGCGGCCGCTTTTCTTATCGAAAATTATGAAAAAGTGGCTCAAGTTCTTCTGTTAAGAACACACCCAATACAAGACTAGAGTGCAAAACCTATACCCTATTTGAGACCAAAATGGCCAAAATCTCTACCCTATTTCTGACCAAAACGGCTGAAAAAACCACACCCTTTGGGACCGCACATGCCTATATAGTCCATATAACGAAGACCCCCGCCGCCCGCTGCACCTACTGGGCCCTTTTAGAATTACTTCTCATAATAAACGGGACGTTGAACATATTTTTCTATTGTTAATTCAAAAGCGATTAAACCTCTGAACTAGTACCTTCTAGATTAGAAAATTTATTTTTTTTCCCAGCCAACCGGGCGTCAAAAAGCACCGCGGCCGTAAAAAGTAGACTGATCCTATCTCACTTGTCTGTCTCTACGTGTCTCTTAGCTTTCTAAGTTTCTGAATTGTAAATACAAACACAAAGGTCATCTCACACTGCCGTATATTTTATTTCTCGTCATCATATGATTCAGATTAAAGCAGAACAGCTTAAAAAATACCGCGAAAGTAAACTATTAAAAACTACAACTATTATTCTAGGGCTCGTGTTCATATCATATTTGCCAGGAGTATTTTACGCTGGCCTTAGACAATTTTTCCCTTCTTTCAGTGCTACCACTTGTATGTTGATCAACTCGTTCTTTAATCCCATTATTTACTGCCGGAGAAACAAAGGTTAGGAAGGGCGATGCCAGAGGTGTCGTTTCAGCGGGATGAAGATGATAAAGACCTGTGCAGAACAAACTAGCTGAAATAATGAGCTGCCATTCCGCAAAAGGGCGTATTCTTTGTGATACTGAACAATCAGTTATTTTACTGTCTTTGAATAATTAAAGTGAACGTAAATACGAATTTGATAATGCAATTAAAACTTGACGGTAAACACCTTTGTTATGTGTTAATGTCGATCAGCGTGTGCCCACCTATGACAAATCTTCCAGCATAACCAACAAATCCTGTGTAACTAGCTATGTGTTTTTTTTTTTTTTTTTTTTTTTTTTTAATAACGCTCAAGTTCGGTAGAAGAATAATATTACATGCATGGCCACCCCCGTCCACCTGTTCGTATAAATTTCCCTGGAATTGAAACAGCTGACTCTTGGTGGCAATTCCCAAAAACTCGATAAGATCTGGTTAATGAAATCGTTGGAAGCGCGGCAGAAAAAGCATTCGAGGATGACTGGTTCAACAAAGAGTACAACCTTAACATTACAAAACCATTAGCATCATTGGCTCGTTTATTGAGACAGCGTCCATCATAGCCGCGCCGTCGCTGTGGAATACTTCCGAAAAATGATCCTATAACAATTATTATTATTTTAAACCAATTTGTCAAAGCTTTTTGTACACTAGTATTGTAATGCCGTTAAGCGAAACGACTTCGATCGTGTAGGTGAATCGACTTCGATGTCAGGGAACCGACCGGTTTTCCCTCTCCTCAAGCACCTTCCAGGTCTCGATTGCAGATATCTCGTAAGAATTTTTTTCCCAGAAAAATACAACGGTGGTTCTGAACCTCTTTTGCAAAATTCCCTTGAAATTTGCAAAATATTACATAACTTTTAACATGCTAATCACAATCTGAAAATAAAAATAGTGGCCACCAAGCCTGTTCTTAAAGTAGAAATGTTCTTTCGGGTGTTTTTTTCCAGGTTATACAGTTGCTATTGTAACCTTTTTAAAATGAACTGACAGAGTGGAAGCATTGTATTGATCCATCTATTTCAAACTACGAGTTGGAAAGTGCTGAAGATCGATTAGCCACCCAATCATTACACATCATAAACTGCTGCTTATAAGCCCTGGGTTTACACTACTTCATAAGGGATTTTGGATGGGCTTATGAACGGAGTGGGTTATATCCGGGAGGGAGTGGAATAAAAAAACTGTTTCGAAATGAGCTACAGCAGTGTTGATCGCAATACCTTTTTCATAAACTGTTTTTTCTTTAGCTTAAAAACATCATAATAAATCAATTTCATTTCATATAAAACTTGAGGAGGGCTTATTTGCGGGAGGCTTCTAATTGGAAGTACTAGTAATAATTATTTTGTTTACGGGTAGATATGATAGGCCCATAGCCAGGGAGGGGTGAAGTTTTGTGAGCCGGAGGGCTTATAAGCGCTAGTTTATGGTATTTTCCTTTCACAACTTCAACTTCATTTCACTTTATTTTGCACTTACAGTTTTTTTTTAAATTTCCACAAAACCAGTCTTTCGAGGTTCTACACGGATAAACCTGACTGATAAAAAATCTTTGTTGCCTGAGCCACCGGCATTAACTACTCATGGTTTCATTAGACTGAAACAGCTAACAGAGAGCAATATCGGAGAAATATATACAGAAAATAATGATAGTATGGGACAACACAATTAATTTAAAACCTTTGTATATTAGACGCCTTCGAAATTTTTTAGTTATACTATATACGTGTCTCTTTTTGAATAACTATCCAAGATGTTAGTTAAAGTAATATGTTTACTTTGCACTCTACAACCTACAGTTTACGCGGTAATTATATTCTGTCTCTCCCTGATCCAAAAACAACAACTTTCGGTCTGCATTCCTTTTCATATTTAGCTGCTAAATTATGGAACTCTCTTCCGGACTCGCTTAAAACTTCTGCTTTTGCGGACTTTAAACAAAAGATATTACAGTATGACTCTTTTCAGTAGCATTGCAACTTGTCTATAGTTTTATTATGTACATAGTTAATCTCTTTCATTATTTTTAGCATATTTATTGTATAAGTATTGCATTTTGTTATATTTATGTTCTCAAAGATATTAGCTAATTTTAGCTACTTAAAATTCAAGAGGAAATAAAGTATAAGTATGTATGTATGTAATATATCAAAGATTCAGTGCAGTTCAAGAATTGTAAATAATAGCATTAGAGTATGACAAGAATAGTTCACCATTACAAATTAAAATGCTAAAATTGTTTAGCTTTTGAAATAATATTTTTCCTGTTTCTGTGTCATAATTATTTATAAATATAGCTCTAATCATATTGCATTTATGAATAACATTGTACATGTATGTGAAACAAGCTTTATATATGTAATTTTCTACCCAAATGCTGTGTGGGTAATTATTCATAAATTATTCAACATCGTTCAAGTATGAGTTCAATAACTCTTACTAAGTACTGTCAGTAACTTGCTTAAATCCTGCGACATTTAACCAATTCCTCACACTCACAAGGAAATACATTGGCAAAGATTGTAGAACACAATAAAAAGTATTATTAAATATTAAATATAATTACCATGGATCACGCATAATAACAATACTATTATGTAAAATGCATGATTTTTGAAGAGGAGCTAGTCATCTCTTTACTTAGTTTGCTCACGTTTAAAATCAGCTTGCCATAATGACATGAATGTTTGAATATTAAGCCCAGTCATTAACGCCATGCCAACAGTGGAAAAAAGGAAATGCGAAAATGGTACCATACTGCGATGTTGTATGACATAATTTGTCATCCATGCAGAGGTAAGGAATCGAAAGTTGATGAATGTTAACAACAGCATTATTCCATTGACCTGGTATAACAGAGATTTCTTGCTAACTCCATGAAAGCACATTAATCTTCTCGAATGTAAGAAAACACTGTTGACCTCCATCAAAAGAGAACATACAGCAAATGCTATGTACGCCTTGTTGAAGATGGCGATGAAAAAGGCACTACATACCTGCATCACAACAAAAATCTATCAGTAAAATAAAAATACTTTTTCTGGTTTCATTGAAATCATAAAAATGTGGCTTTCTAAATAAAAATTCAAACTTATGCGCTGCAACCCTAGGGTGTGAAGGACCAACAGGCTTATCTGCACCCACTCTTGCATTCATCTGCTTCGCTCCTTCCTCTGAATGGAATGTTTCCATTGCAGGTCACCCCTCCCTGCCTCCCTGCCTCCCGCTGTTAACCCATCTATCTGATTCTCCCCCCCCTCCAGAATTGTTCACCCAGCCATGCAAACTATATGAATTCATAAAATATCTTACCACAATGTGGTGAAGGAGAAGATCTAAGGACTTCCTGGCATCATAAATAAGCATATCAAAGAAGTCATGGATAAAATAACCTGCAAAAAAAGTGGTTTTCATGTGAATAACTATCAAGAAGGCAGAGTAACAATGAATGGTTTTAAAACAAGATCATGTAAAGCTTCAAGGTATGTTAAGCACAACCTCTCTAGATGGATACTTCCCATAAATTGACACATAGCTATGGTCCCAGTCATACACACATGCAACATTTTTAACCTGCAATAAGCAGACACCTGTTGTAAACCAATACTTCTTCTGATTCCAAGAGTATCCCCTTCAGGACACTCACACCACACCTGCTTGCCCATCATCTCAGAGGACTTAACATCAAAGATATCGAGGAGGTGCACGCCTACAGATCTCCATAGTGGACTTACTCTTAGGGAATCGGGTTTTAGCCCCCCACTCTAAAAGTTATCGTGCAGGCCCTGCACAACGCCTTGAATTGGGCACCATTAATGTTGGAATAGGTGGTTGATTTTACCACCTTATTTTAAGATTCAGATAAATATCCTGGCAGAATAGACAGCCAAAGTTATCAAGCTGGCTTCTTTTGACGACCCTCAGGGAACCTTCGCTATCAGAGGGCAAGAAGTGTGGACATCACTGTTCCTCCGGCCTCCCACAACCCTAATGTCATACATGTAGTTTGTCAGGTTTTTTGGTCTTCAATTGTTCACTTATGACAGAATACCCAAAGAGGAGGAACCTTTCAAACAACCTCTAGTGTCTTCTACTGAAATAATTATATCTCTAATTTGTGGTGTGCTGGATAGCCTCCAAGCCCCCCCCCCCCCTAGTATCACCCCCCTGGGGGGGGGGGTTTATACTTCCATAAATTTCACATAGGTGAGTGTTGCAAAGGGTCTCAAACCCTAACCCTATTTAAGGATAAAGGACAATAAAAATGACACCCTATTTGAGGCCCAACCCCCCAAAAATGACACCTTATTGAAGGAAAAAACAAAAACTAAGAACAGCGTGGACAGTTCAACTTTATTTTGTTTCTGTAACATTGGAGGTATACAAGTAGTTGCTGCCGCAGTGAGTGAGCTTGAAGTGAACAAACGAGGCAGCTCTCTACCGGTAATCGGGAAAAGGTCACATTGTAGGGGCCTTGATAACGTTTTTGCAAAAACCAAGGAATTATGGAAGCAGTAAGATCAAAGGTGCAAGGAATTGTGGTTATGCACCAATGGAAGAATTGAGATGTGTTGTTTTGCCATGTGCTCTCTTTGAGCAATGAAAGCAAGGATGAAAGCTATCGGGAACAACAGGAGCATCAGTCCAGAATATCCAACCAAAACACTCTTGTGGAGTTTCAACTAAAACTAACAGAAGTCACTTGGAAAATCACAGAAACAAATAAGTTATAAGGTCAAAGGCGCCCACCGTGATGGAGAACCAAGTCAGTTTTCACATTTTATAATCTTAAGCTTACTGAGTGTAAGTATTAATGAACCAGTTGTAATCAGTCATGAAAAATGTTCAATGTTCTATCCTGCCATCGATGATGTTCAATTGTAATTTGCCACAACTTTTGATTTTTAATCAGGCATCTGTTTTACAGTTTGAGTTCCCTCTCATCATCAAGTGTTGTTTAGTAACATTATTTTAAAAAATCACAGATTTTACCGCTACCGTTTATAATTTTTATCTGCACAACTTTACCCAACATTTTGGAAGTCACATGGGAGAAGAAATTGTGAATATACTTCATTCCAATTCTTCGCAAAAATTACAGCTTATTGTTATTATAATAAGAATCTCAAAAGGGAAGTCATTCAGCCATGACCTACAGCCTTCTGGAGTGTTCTATTTCTCATGTAATATTCGAATTTAGAAACCTTGCAACAATGTTAATTAATTCTTTAGGCCCCAGTTATATGGCCTCGGGTAACCAAGAAAACCCTACCCCCAAGGCAACTTTAACAAGCATTTATATGTGAAAACGTTGTCCCTATAGGCAAAGTCAAAGTTGATCCTGCACGATTATTCATAACCCATATTGAATAATCAAATGTGCAAATATCCCTCTTTCTTTGAGTTTCCATAGGTCATTCGATCACTGTGGGTTTTGCCAAGTTAATTTTCACTTCTTTGATACGAATTTCTGCTTTAAATCCTAAATCTAGGCATTATGCATATATGTGACACTCGCCACGCCAAGAGTTGTCCCGGTTAGGCGAGCAAAGCATTTATATAAAAAAAGTTGTCCCGCTTGCCAGGGTTACGGTGAGACAACTCACCCACCCGAGTTGTCTTGCCCCCCAAGAAAGGTTCGCGATCCTAATGTAAACGGTTGGTTGAATTTTGCAAAAAAATAAGCTAAAAGTTACCTTGGCTAAGGTAACTTAGGGGGAGGGTTGTCTTGGATACCCAAGACCATATAAATGGGGCCTTTGAGAAGTTACTGGAAACTCCAGGTGTACCTGTATAAGAGCGTGAGTTAGTGCTGCTGTACGCTGTAATCCGAAAAGTTAAAGTGCCCATAATGTCAAATTTTTTTTTCGCTCATCGAATTCTACATTTCACCTAATGAACTTCTGTGAAAAAATCTTTTGATTTGGATAAAATGCAATTTTTTTATAAGTTTTTAAAGACATTCAAATTTGCCACCATTTTGGTCCACCATTCACATCAGTCTTCCTCGGTTTGAAGTGAGTCGTGACGTAGGTTCAGGAACATGTGATTTAGGTCATGACTTATCTGACTTGAAAACAAGTGGAAATTTCGCTTCAGAGTTGTCTACATTTAGTTGAAAATGCCGGAAAGGTCCATTACCACTCTTTGTAACAATGTTAATGATCCAGAAAACAACATCAGTCTTCATCGTAGGTCCCTGAACCTACGTCACAAGCATCAGTCACGTGGTCATTTTGAGCACGTTATTCTTGTGATCAGCGGCAGGGGTCGACCGCAAGAAAATAGAATTTTGAACTTTGTGAAGATTTGTAAAAAAATTGCATTTTATCCAAATCGAAAAATTTTTTCACAGAAGCTCATTAGGTGAAATGTAAAATTAGATGGGTGAAAAAAAAGTTTTGACATTATGGGCACTTTAAAAATACCAGTTTGTTATTGTTACTGAAGATCCTGAGTTCTGTATGGGAACAACCCTGCTCTGCATTGACACACCTTACACCCTCCTTCCCTTCGGCAGCATTTTCTACCATTTAGGTAAACTAGTTTAGTTTTAACAGATCTTTTTTTTCTGTTTAGCTGGGGATTTACGCACTGCAATTTTAGCTGATACAATAATTATCTAAATTATTTAGATACCCTATCTAAGAAACACATTGGGAACACAGTGCCAGCAGGAGCAAAACTAATACCCTATTTGAGGATCGAGAACCTCAAAGACCCTACCCTGTCCTGCGGCACATACCTATATAGCCCATATAAGGATGTACCCACTCCCCCCTTCCCCCCAAACCAGGCCTCCAAAGCAGAACCTCTATGGGCTTACAACACAATCTCCTGACTGCATGATGACCCATAGGACCAGAGTGCTAAGCCTGGGCAGCAAATAATCTAATTATCTAAAAAGTCACCCACCTCTGACCAAATAACAACACTTTTACGAAAAGTAGTCATAATATTCAGATGGAAAGATTATATTAACTGCTCAAAGATCAAAACACATACCAGTGGACATTACTACAAGCACAAACGCTGTGTCACTCCAAGCAGTAAACATATCTGACAACATTGCTGGTTCGTCAAAAAAGCTGTCAAGATCAATGCAACAATCGATCGTGAGTTGTATAATCAAATCGTGTCATGAAAGTAACACCAGACAAATAACTGTTAAATTAAAACTCACCAGTAAACTGACAGAAAAGCAGAAAAGAAAGAGTGAACAAATGACACAGTTATATTTCTGTACATCCAGATGTTCCTCGCGCTCGCAGTTGCGAGAGACGAAGGGATCGGTCCATAATTTGTCAACAAGGAGTGCAGAACACGAAAAACGACAAAAAAACCAAGGATTTCAAACGAACCACGAGGTAAAGATAGGATTCCAAACATTTTCTAAACTTTGTCAAGCGAAATAACGAAGAAAAATCAAGATTCTCATTGAAATACGGAGTGAATGACTCGAAAGGGAATTATGCAATAGTTCTCTCCCTCTTGAGTTGCGTGACTTCTGCGCGGTGAATCGAACCGCGCGCTTATCGGCCATGCATGCAATTGGTCAAAAGTCTGGCGTGATCACACCCGATAGACCCCGGATTATACAAATTAACATTGTGTTTCTGACGTTTATGTATTATGTAATGAACTGCCAGGCTTTAAACTACACATAAACACTGTAAGCTTGTATGATCGAGCAGATGTGAAATCGAACACTCTGCCAGAGGCTTCTTTCTCTTCCTCATTGCTCGACGTGTCCGCCATCTTGGAATAGTCTGTGCTCCTGGGAACGAGGTTGTCCAAGCTCTTCCCCAGGACCTTAACAATAATAATAATAATAATAATAATAATAATAATAATAATAATAATAATAATAATAATAATAATAA